TCCACAAGTCATAAAAGAGCCAAGGATGCCTACCCCGTCCTAGACCAAGCAATGTCCAAAAACACTAATAAATTTCTAGGAGCCTGTCACTCTGACAAATTAGCCATCAATAGACAGACAGAAACAATATGTACCCACTTTGCAAAAAAGATAACACCTCCTCACCAGCAATCCATACTGAGATATGCATAGATTAATACTATGATTAACATCAGACCAACAATCAAGAAGTAAACAATGCCCGAAGCAAGGAACTGCCAAAGAAGCTAACAACAAAGACCATTTTTTTAAAACTGCTAAAGCAAGCCTTAGGGCAGTGATGGCAAACCTTTTAGATCTTTTAGAGTGTCCAAAAACCGCCCTGCCCTTGCTCCCGCCTGCCTGCCTCCCCGTCCCACTGTGCCATCCCGCAGGGCCACCTACCACCTCCATGGCCCGTCGCAGATCTCCCAGGCGGTCCTGCAGTGCCTTGGCAGCCACGCCTTCCGCCTGTGCCCCACAGCATCATCTGCACGCGACAGGGTGCAAGGGCGGAGTCTTGTCCCCACTGCCTGGCTGCCATGTCCTTGGCTGGGCTGCTGCGCACGGGCCACACCCAGGGGTGATTCTCCTCGGGGGTCTGCTGGTGAGGAGGGGGCCGCGGGGGGAGGTGGGGCTGGGGCGACGGCACGCGTGCCCATAGAGAAGGCTCAGATGCCACCTCTGTTCCACGTGCCATAGGTTCGCCACCACTGCCTTAGGGTAAATTTCAGCAAGGCCCAAGCAGTACTTGCCAGGATTCCTCACTTTCATCATACACCGAAGAGTGAATTAAACCATCTGTCTTACTGTTGATGTCTTCTTCTTCGTCTACAGGTCATTTTGGATTCGTGCCTTGAAAGTCAACATTACTTCAGTTGGAACTGGGGTTTTACTCCTAAGAATGCACAATACACAGTGGTTACTATTACCCCAGACACAGGGGTTACCCTTGCTTACCTAGGCATAATTAGTGGAAGACCATCCACCTCCCTCCATATCCTAAAGCAGGGGTCTCTAAATCTGGCCCATTTATGACTTGTGGACATCAACTCCCAGCACGCTGGCTGAGGAATTCTGGGAGTTGAAGTGCACAAGTCATAAAAGAGACACGTTTGAAAACCCCTGTCCTAAAGCTTCAAAGAATACAAGACTCAACTAAACATACCTGTCAGCGTAGAGGGCACCATCACAGCTGAAGACTAAGAGGGCTTGAGCTGGAGACATTTTCTTGCTTCCTTTTTCTTCTTTTTTCTTCTTTGTTTCTTCCTCAGTCGTGCCCAGCAATGTTGTCTCTTTTGAAGAATATTCGTCAGAAGAGTGCACTTCGTCTGCTCAGTCTGCAAAGCTAGAAAACTATAACATCTTTTACAGGTCAATGGCCACACCTAACATTAAAAAGGGCCATTGAAGTTTTCTTTTTGGTTGAATGAACTATTGCCAGGGCTAAATTTCCAGACCAACAATCAAGAAGTAAACAATACCCTAATCAAGGAGCTGCCAAAGAAGCTAATAACAAATAGTGCAACGAAGAACCTCCAAGATTATTTTCACCAACACTGAGCCACCAGAACCTAAACTGGGAGCAAACTGCACTCCAAGCACTGATGATGTTCCCTAGTTTGATAAAGAAATGTCTACAACAGGGGTGTCAAACTGCCGGCCCAGGGGCCACGCCCACCCCATTGCCAGCAAGGGCAAAACCTGCCCGATACATTGCACAAATGACGTCATGTGACGTCGCGAGTTTGGACATGCCTGGTCTACAAGAAAACCGCCAAGCTCAGAGAGCAGCAATGATGCCTTATTTCAATCGTGAGCCACATATATTCTCCTTTATTGGTATTCCTCATATTAAATTGCATCATCAGGTTTACTTTTGGTTCTAAGAAGTCTGGCTCGTACTACTAATAAATAATAATAATAATAAACCCTTTATTATCAAAGTATAACATGTATACAGTGAAATTGGCTGAGCCAACTCAGGCACTGGAGGAGGCTGGTAGCTGTCTGGTTCTAAGATCCACAGCCAATAGCTAAAATTGTCTTGAGTCAATTTTTTTTGCTACTTTTTAGGCATGTTTGTCAAACTTGTGACTGTTCTTTTTACCCTTGATACTTTGTAATGTTTTTTTTAAACTGCTAAAGCAAGCCTTAAGGTAAACTTTAGCAAGGCCCAAAGATTTTTGCAGTAGTTAACATGTTGCAAACAGTACTTGCCAGGCTTCCTCACTTTCATGATATACTGGGGAGTGAATTAAACCATCTGTCTTACTGTGGATGTCTTCTTCTTCGTCTACATGGATTCATGCCTTGGAAATTAAAAAAAAAATAAAAAATCAACATCACCAAATGACCAATGGATGTTCAGAGGCTAGAAAAGCAATCAGTAGTCAAAGGGGCTTTTGTGTGTTTTAGCCTACGTGTGAAAGAAGGCAAGATACAATGAACTGTAACATTGTTCCCTCGAGCAACTAGCGGCCTTCTACACGTTTTCCTTCTTTTAGAGCAGAGGTGTCAAACTTGCCACGTCCCGTGACGTCGCAACGTGGTTGGGTTTTTTTTTGCATTGCCGGAGCTGGGTGGGCGTGGCCTCCGTATGATGCAACCGGCTTGTGGGCCGGCAGTTTGACACCCCCGTTGTAAGGATTTGAGGCTCGACTACCATTTCCTCAGGTCCCCAGAGTTGCGTGTATTCAAGAAAGCCAAGGCTCAAATCCTTCAAGCGGCAGTCAAACTGCCGGCCCACAAGCCGGTTGCGTCATGCGGAGGCCACGCCCACCCAGCTCCCTCAATGCAAAAAAAAAAAAAAAAGTCGCGTTTTAAGGATTTGAGCCTCGACTACCATTCCCTCAGGTCCCCAGAGTTGCGTGTATTCCAGAAAGTCAAGGCTCAAATCCTTCAAGCGGGCGTCAAAAGGCCGGCCCGCAAGCCGGTGACGTCATACGGAGGCCACGCCCACCCAGCTCAGTAATGGGGGGGGGAAAGTGGCGGCACCCGTTTTAAGGATTTGCGCCTCGACTGCCATTCCCTCAGGTCCCCAGAGTTGCGTGTATTCCAGAAAATCAGGGCAACTCCAGCTACTGGCGCAATTTTGCCTTTAAGCTAAATTCTGCCTTTAGCCCCTTTTACCTGCGCCTGGCTAAAGTTTGCCTCATCTTTATTCCCGAGAGTGAGATCAGCTCCTGGCCCCCGAAGTAATTTTAATTAACTTTCGCCTTTTCTTCCTTGAAATGCTTTTAGCCCTGCAAAGACGTGGCTGAGATTACCTCTGACTTTATTCCGAAGCTAATTTTAACTTATTCGCCTTTGCTGGTTTGCTCCTTTTTAAAGGAGCGTGGCTGAAATTACCTCAGGCTCCGCCAAAATTTGACTCTTGAGAAGCCGAGTCTTGGCTAAAATTACCTCAGGCGCCAAAAATTCGCTTTATTCCGGAGAGCAAAGCTCAGCCCCTGAGTCCATTTTACCTTTAAAATGAATTTTAATTCTTATCCACTTGTGGTAGTTTGAAGCTAATTTTAACTCTTATTCAGCTGTGATAGTTTGCTCTTTTTTAACGGGACACGGCTGAAATTACCTCAGGCGCCAAGAATTTGCTTTATTCCTGAGAGCAAGGTCAGCTCTTGAGTCCATTTTACCTTCAAAACTAATTTTAATTCTTCTTTTTTTTAATTGAAATTTTTTTAAAATTTTACAAAAACAAAACAATTTTCCCCCAAACCTCCCCAACCCTCCCATTCCCTCCCCCGACCTTCCCAGAGCTGAATATAGGCTTAAAGTTTCTTCGAAAAATCTTAAAAACTAATTTTAATTCTTATCCACCTATAGTAGTTTGAAGCTAATTTTTATTCAGCTGTGATAGTTTGCTCTTTTTTAACGGGACACGGCTGAAATTACCTCAGGCTCCAAGAATTTGCTTTATTCCTGAGAGCAAAGCTCAGTCCCTGAGTCTATTTTACCTTTAAAACGAATTTTAATTCTTATCCACCTGTGGTAGTTTGAAGCTAATTTTAACTCTTATTCAGCTGTGATAGTTTGCTCTTTTTTTTTAAAAGGCAGGTGGCTGAAATTACCTCAAAATTTTACTCTAAGAATTCGAGTCTTGGCTAAAATTACCCCAGACGCCAAGAATTCGCTTCATTCCTGAGAGCAAGCTCAGCTCCTGTGTCAATTTTACCTTTAAAACGAAATTTTAATTCTTATCCCCCTATGGTAGTTTGGTCCTTTTAAAAGGACATGGCTGAAATTACCCCAGACGCCAAGCATTTGCTTTATTCCTGAGAGCCAGGTCAGCTCTCGAGGCAATTTTACTTTGAAAACTCATTTTAATTCTTATTCACCTGGACTAGAATTGCATTATTCCCTAAGGGAAAGACTATCTTTAGTGACCTGTGGTATCGGCGTCCTTTTAAATAACACACCGTTGAGATATTACCTCAGCCACCGCTGCCCGTTTAACTCCTAAGAATACACGCCGCGGTTAAAATTACCACAAGTAATTTACTCTTACTCCGCGAGACTAGGCTATTCATTAGCTAAAGAACTCACGCTCCCCTCCGTATCTTACAACGTAGGAAAATCTCAGAATTACCTCAAAAGCTCAAAAGGCCCTGCCCGGCCTCGAGCTCGAGGGCTTCGGCCGCGGGAGCGCCGGAGGAGAGAGACATTTTTGCCCCCCGGCGCCCCGCAGCATCGTCTTTTTTGAGGAAAAAGAGACGCGGTGAGCGGCGTCTGCTGCCTAAGCAGCGCGCTCGCTTTTCTTTTTCCACTCAGCCCTTGAGGAGCCCGCCGACTTTTTAAATGCCCCCGCCTCTCGGAGAGAAGGGAGGCCTCTCAGCCAATCCGAGCGACGGGTTTTCGGAGCAGCCAATCGCGGGCCGCGGAGAAGAAACTCGCCAGGAGGTCCTTGGGTGGCGCTGGGCGGGGAAGGGGGCGCGCTCGCGCTCGTGCGCACGCGCACACAATGAGTGGGCACGCGCCGCTGTTTCCTCACCTCCCCCCCCCCAACCTCGCAATCCGGGCTCGGCCGCGGCTCCCGGGGCGGTTGCCATGGAAACGGCGGGGAGCAAGCAACGCGCGGCGCGCGAGGCGCTTCATCACGGCCAGGTGGGCCGAAGCTGCGCAGGTGAGGGAAGATTTGGCGGTTGCGACGTTGTGTGTGTGTGTAGTGCCTTCTATCCAGGAATAAACCCGCAGCCGTTTTTGAACTGAACGTGGTCAGCCAAGCTCCGTCTCCTGCGGAGGTGATCAGAAGCCCAATAGCAAGAAACAAAGCAGTCAGAAGGGAAATAATATATTAGCAATACAATCTGAATTCAACGCAATCGCGCATGGAGGCATTTGTGGGTTGCAACCACCATAGATCCTTTTGCACAAATGCCCAGCTTGGGCCTAATGAGTTAAAACTTTTATTTATTTTATTCTTTTTTTGAAAGGGGAACGCGTGTTTTCCGCCTTCCTCTCCCAACCGTGGAGCAATGCTGCCATCTCGTGGCCAAGGAAAAGTCGTGCAGGGCGCTTCTTTTTCGTTCCTTTTTCTTAGCTTTTTTTTCATGAACCCGAAAGGCCGGAGATCGGATTCACACGAGCCTTCCTGCCTAACGACTGATTCACACGTGTTTGGGGGGGGGGCTCGCACGGTGCACGATGCTACTATCCCGTGTGGAAGGCTAGGCTCCAGGAAAGGAATTTTGTTATTTTATTAATATTTTGTTATTTCTTCTCACCAGGGCCCCTGCTTTACCTGGCTCTGAGTTCGAATCCTGATCACGTCCTTGGCAAGTTCAGCTGATTATAAAATAAACGTTTTATGTGTTAACGTTATGAATAATAAAATGACTTTTTAAAATATGCCCTGGGACAGCAAACCCCCCCCCCCAAGCTTGACCATGGAGTGGGCTAGTGAACTTGCAGGCAGAAATTCAACTATGGAAGAAATTCCCTGTTGAATGCAAGCCGAAGGGGAGGGTCTAAGCGAGTGGGCGGAGCCAGAACGACGGCGGATGGAGCTCCTCGACTTTTTTTAAAAGATAATTTTTTTAATATATGTTCCACCCGCCCATTTCGGGGGTCTGGCTCCTCCCCTTTATCCTCTCCTATCTGCGCATGCCTATTTGGATTTTCACGCAGTCCATCTGCCCCCTGAATTCATTGCTATCACATCAGGACATTTTGTGTGTTGCAACAAATAAAAGATTATTTTGCACAAGTGTGTAATATTCTTTTAATCAGTTTAAACTTTTATTTAATTCAGGGGTCTTCCAACTTGGCCCTTTAATGACTTGTGGACTTCAACTCCCAGAATTCCTCGGCCACGCATGCTGCTGGCTGAGGAATTCTGGGAGTTGAAGTCCATAAGTCATAAAATGGCCAAATTGGAAGGCCCCTGAATTAATTCTTTTACTTTAAACGGGTGTTTTCCGCCTTCCTTTCCCAACCATGGAGCAATGCTGCCATCCCGTGGCCAAAGAAAAGTGGTGCGCTGCACTTCTTTTTCGTCCCTTTTTATTAGCTTTTTCATGAACCCGAAAAGCCAGAGGTCGGATTCACATGAGCCTCCTCTCTTTGTGACTGATTCACACGTGTTTGGGAGGCTTGCACGGTGCATCGAACTGGCTACTATCCCGTGTGGAAGGCTAGGCTCCAGCAAAGGAATCCGATCATTCTTTTATTAATCAACATGTTATTATATCGTCTTCCAAGGGGGCTCCTGCTTTATGTGGTTCTGAGTTCAAATCCTGATCATGTCCTTGGCAAAATCATCTCATTAATAAACGTTTTATGTGTTAATCTTATCAATAATAAAATGGTGTTTTTTTTTTATGTAGCCCCTTGAAACTCCCCAAAAACCTTGACTATGGAGTGGGCTAGTAAACTTGCAAGAAGAAGTTCAACTAGTGTAGGAATTCCCTGTTGAATGCAAGGGTGTGTCTCTCTCTCTCTCTCTCTCTCTCTCTCTCTCTCTCTCTCTCTCTCTCTCTCTCTCTCTGTGTGTGTGTGTGTGTGTGTGTGTGTGTGTGTGTGTGTGTGTGTTTATAACTGCGCATTTCGGAGGTGCTGGCTGATGCTGTAGCATTTGGAAAATAAGTCCTGGAGTGGCTTATTTTAATTCTTTCATTTCTTTACTTTGCTGAAAGCTCAAAGCAGCCAGAAAAGGAGCTGTTGGGAATATAAGTTAGTTCCAGGAACTCAAGTTTCATTTCTAATAGGGCACTGAGGATGGCAAAACAGGGATAGATGGATGGATGGATAGATAGATAGATAGATAGATAGATAGATAGATAGATAGATAGATAGATAGATAGATAGATAGATAGATAGATAGATAGATAGGAGATAGATGGATAGACAGACAGACAGACAGACAGACAGACACGGATAGATGGATGGATAGATAGATAGATAGATAGATAGATAGATAGATAGATAGATAGATAGATAGATAGATAGAGATAGATAGATAGATAGATAGATAGATAGATAGATAGATAGATAGATAGATGGATACCGTAGATAGATAGGAGATAGACGGATAGATGGATAGATAGGAGATAGATAGATAGATAGATAGATAGATAGATAGATAGATAGATAGATAGATATGGATAGACACAGATGGATGGATGGATAGATACCGTAAATGCTGGCGTATAAGGCGACTTCCACGAGCGCTGAAATCGGCGCCAAAGACAGGGGTCGTCTTATATGCCGAGTCGTCTTATACGCCGGAAATACTGGTAGTTTCCGGCGTATAAGACGACATTCTAGGAATGCAGCCCGGCGATAAAGACGGGGGTCGTCTTATACGCCGGGTCGCCTTGTATGCCAGCATATACGGTAGATAGATAGATAGATAGATAGATAGATAGATAGATAGATAGATAGATAGATAGATAGATAGATAGACAGACAGACAGACAGACAGACAGACAGACAGACAGACAGACAGACAGAAAGATGAATAGATAGGCTTCTCCGAGAAGCGTTATTGCCTCTTCTTTGCATTTAAAAAGGGGTGACAGCACAGGATCAGCCTCTCACTTCCGCTAAGTGACTTTAATCTGAGATTGTTAGGCTGTTCTTGTTGTTGGCTGTGAAACTGCAGGAGCCACTTATCCAGCACGGATAGATGCCACCCCCGTTCCCCCTCGGGGTTTTTTTGGGCCACGAATGAATTCCTTAGGCTCTTCAAATGTTTCCAGCAGCCGCATGCAGCTCGTGAGTACTTTTCCTTCTGCTGGATGGAAATGTACCAGACTCAGATGCCCACCCCTTGTGTGCAGCAGCCCTGTGGGAGCCCACACAGTTCCTTCTAATCCCCTCGGCCAGCCTTCGCCGTGGGCTTTTCACACCAATTTTCTTGCTCAATTTGGCACGAGCAAAATTTGCAACCATGCCTACCTTCGTTACCCTGGGAGACAATTGAGGCCCTCTAACCTATGTACTTGCATATTTACTATATAACGTAGAGAACATAGAAGAATGGGGTTGGGAAAGGACCTTGGAGGTCTTCTAGTCCAACCCCTTGCTCGAGCGGGAAACCTTATACCATTCTGGACCTATGGTGGTCCAGGCCACATCTAGAATACGGCATCCAGTTTCGGTCACGTTACAAAAAAGATGTTGAGACTTTGGGAAAAGTGCAGAGAAGAGCAATGAAGGTGGTTGAAGGCCTGGAGACAAAAACATACAAAGAACGGTTGCAGGATTTGGGTATGGCTAGCCTAGATTAAAAAAGAACAAGGGGGGACATGATAGCAATTGTTGCAATATTTAAGGGGCTGCCACAAAAAAGAGGGGGGTTAATTTATTTTCCAAATCATCTGAAGGTAGGACAAGAAACAATGGATGGAAACTAATCAAACAGAGAAGCAACCTGGAATTAAGGAGAAACTTCCAAGCAATGAGGACAATGAACCAGTGGAACGGCTTGCCACCAGAAGTTGTGGGTGCTTCATCATTGGAGGTTTTAAAGAAGAGAATGGACAATCATCTGTCTGAAATGGTATGGAGTCTCCTGCTTGAGCAGGGGGTTGGACTAGAAGACTTCCAAGGTCTATTCTAATTCTATTTTAATTTCTAATTCTAATAATTCTAATTCTAATAATTCTAATACTTCTATTCTATTCTATTCTATTCTGTTCCTTTCTATTCTTTTCTATTCTACTTCCTATTCTATTCTTATCTTATCCTATTCTATTCTTATTTCCATTCCATCTATTCTAATTCTATTCCATTCCATTCCTAGTTTATTCTATTATTATTCTATTCTGTTCTGTTCTGTTCTGTCTGTTCTATCCTATCCTATCCTATCCCATCCTATCCTATTCTATTACTGTATATCCTTATTCTATCCTATCCTATCCTATTCCATTCTTATCCTTATCCTATCCTATCCTATCCTATCCTATCCTATCCTATCCTATCCTATCCTATTCTATTCTATTCTATTCTTCTAGGACAAATCAGGAAAAAAAATCTGGAGCTATTTAGGATGCTATATTTCCAATCCTGGGCTGATTTCTAAAATTAAGTGATTAGGAAATCGCATAGGCAGCATCACCTGTCATCTTATCTTGCAAATTCCAATTCTGCCCATCTGGAATGTTTCGTGCAGATGGAGAGTGGTTGGCTGTATTCCCTTGAACAAGAAATAATTAAAGCAGGCATTCAAATCAGCTGTCAACACAAAACCATAATTTGTTTTTAATCGCTGTTGTTGAAGAAACCAGAGTTTGCCTCATTCATACTAGTTTACAAACAACGATTTTCATACCACCGTGTTTGGGAATTGCACAACACTAGGCCAACCGCAAAGGAAATACTGTACTGGTAGTCCTCAACTTACAACAGTTCATTTAGTGACTGTTCAAAAGTGACAGCAGCATTGAAAAAAGGGACTTATGACCATTTTTCACAGTTACGACCTTCGCCGCATCCCCATGATTATATGATCAAAATTTGGGTGCTTGGCAACTGACTCACATTTATGACAGTTGCTGTGTCCCAAGGTCATGTGATCCCCTTTTGTGACCTAAGAAATAAAGTCAATGGGGAAGCCACATTCACTTAACGACTGCAGTGATTCGCTTAACAACTGTGACAAGAAAGGTTGTAAAGTGGGGCAAAACCCACTTAACAAATGTCTCATTTAACAACAGAAATGTTGAGCTCCTTTGTGGTCATAAGTGAAGGACTACCTGTAATAGAACAATATGTGAACCAGCTTCTAAATACATCAAGGCAACGATACAGGCACATTCTGTGTTGTTAAAAAAGCAGCTTGTTACAGCAATTGGGGTGGCTGCAATTTAAAGGAATAAAGTCCAATAACGATCCCCTGATGAACATGGCCGATTGCATCCTCTCCATAAATGGTATTTTTTTAAAAAAAATACTTAGATCAGACCTAGTTGACAGCTTGTCTCTAAATTCCAAAGTTTTAAACAAACATATGGTAAGAACAGAAGAAAACACGTCACCCATTCTGCCTTGCCTCCTACACTGTACCTCTTTTAAAAAGGGAATTATGCAGCGTGCCACTGAGATGGGAAAATGAGCTTAGTGTGGTGCATAGCTTCCCAAAGAACGAAAAGCCCCTTGCTTTCTGATCGGAGAACTTAATTGAAGAAGGCATGCTGGGCGAAAAGACTGAGTCGCGCGCTGGCGAGTACAGTACATTTTTTGCCCTGAAGTCTGATCTCTTATTTTCTTCCCAACAAACCTAATCATTTCTTCGGTCCCCGCAGAGTCTCCAAAAGACTTCAGAAATGTATTCATGTTTAGGAGAGGGAGAAAAAAACAAAACGGAATTGCTCCATTTACAAAAATAAAAAATAAATCATTTGGCTGCAAAGTGAAAGTGCTATGCATAAATATCTGCATCTCTGCGTGCATTCTTGGATCTGCAAACTGTAGCCTTGGGTTGAGGGCATGGAAGGGGAACTCATCAAATTTGCAGACCACCAAGCTGGCAGGAATAGCCAACACTCCAGAAGTTACAGGCTTAAGATACAGGAGGATCTGGACAGACTCGAACATTGGGCGCTATCTAACAAAATGAAATTCAGTGGTGAAAAAAGTAAGGTTCTACATTTAGGTAAGAAAAACCTAAATGCACCGGTCCAGTATAGGTGTTCCCTGGCTCAATAGTAGCAACTATGAGAGGGATCTCAGAGTCCTAGTGGACAATCCCTTAAATAGGAGCCAGCCGTGTGCTGCAGCTGCACAAAAAGCCAACACAGTTCTAGGCAGCATTAACAGAGGGATAGAATCAAGATCACGTGAAGTATTAATACCACTTTACAATGCCTTGGTAAGGCCACACTTGGAATACTGCATCCAGTTTTGGTCAGCATATTATTAAAAAAGTTGTTGAGACTCTAGAAAGAGTGTGGAGAAGAGCAACAAAGATGATCAGGGGGCTGGAGACTAAAACATATAAGGAACGGATGCTAGAATTGGGTATGTCTAGTTTAACGAAGAGAAGGACGAGGGGGGACATGATAGCAGCCTTCCAATATCTCAGGGGCTGCCCCCAAAGAAGAGGGAGTCAAGCTATTCTCCAAAGCGCCTGAAGGCAGGACAAGAAGCAATGGATGGAAACTAGTCAAGGAGAGAAGCAACCTAGAACTAAGGAGAAACTTCCTGACAGTTAGAACAATTAATCAGTGGGACGACTTGCCTCCAGAAGTTGTGGGTGCTCCAACACTGGACGTTTGTAAGAAGAGATTGTCTGCAACGGTATAGTCGTTCCTGCCTAAGCAGGTGGTTGGACTAGAAGACCTCTAAGATCCCTTCAAATCCTGGTATTCTGTATAGATGCCAGGTTATTAAAGCCCAAGGATCTTTGCTTCTCCTCCAGAACATCTAGGTTTGTCCCTGTTCCACACGCAAAGTCCGAGCAACATGTGCTGATAACTTTGTCTTAGAAATGGAAGCCTGTGAATTGCTAGAGACGATTGTCCTGTTAGGATAGAAAGATTTACTATTTCTCCCTGTTTCCCATGGTAATCAGAAAGAACATTTCAAGCTGTGCCCAGAACCAAGTACATCATGTACATGTTTCCTTGCTTCCTTCTGTAATTTTTTTTTTTTTTTAATCTGATGTTCCGCGAGAAGGAATCGCTTGTTCAGGTCAAGAGCCACCCTCAATGGCTTCTGTTTCAACGCCTGCTCTTAATTTTCCCCAGCCAAGCTTCAGTCAGCCCTTCTTCGCTCAAAGATGGCTGACACGCTGCGGACAATCTCCCGGATGCCCACCGTCTTCTTAGTGAACCTCTTTGAGTCCTGGACCAGGTTAAGAAGTTCGTTGAAGACCACCAGGGAGCCATGGTAGGTCTCGGCCGTCGAAATTTCGAAAAAGCCAGAGTTGGTGGACAGGGCCAAAAGGCGACCTTCCTCGCTGGAGACAGCCCGCTGGTGCTGCAAGTCCCGCTTGTTGCCCACCAGAACGATGGGCGCCCTCCGTGTCCCGTTTCTTCTCTTTGAACGTCGGAGCCAGTGGAGCTGATGACGGGCAAAAGCGAAACTGGCCCGATCGCAGATACTGTAGACGATAATGAAACCATCAGCCCAGTGCAGCTGTTTCTCGTTCAGGCAGCTTTGGAGGCTGGCCACCTACGGAGAGTCAAAGAAGGATTTGCTAGAGTTGAGATAAGCAAAGCAGCAGCCCTTAATCCGCCGTTAATGGCACAGTGGTTGGAATGCAGCACAGCAGGTTACTTCTGCTGGCTGCCGGCTGCCAGCTGTTTGGCAATTCGAATCCGGCTCAAGGTTGACTCAGCTTTCTGTCCTTCTGAGGTCAGTAAAATGAGGACCCAGAATGTTGGGGGTAAGAAGCTGACTCTGTAAACCGCTTAGAGAGGGCTGTAAAGCACTGTGAAAGCGGTGTATAAGTCTAAGTGCTGTTGCTTTTGCTATTATTGCTATTCTATATTCTATTCCATCCCATCCCATATATTCTATTCTATTCTATTCTATTCTATTCTATTCTATTCTATTCTATTCTATTCTATTCTATTCCATGCCACTCCACTCCATTCCATATTATTCTATTCTATTCCATTCCATTCCATTCCACTCCACTCCATTCCACTCCATATTATTCCATTCCGTTCCATTCCATTCCATTCCATTCTATTCTATTCTGTTCCATTCCACTCCACTCCATATTATTCTATTCTATTCTATTCCATTCCATTCCATTCCACTCCACTCCATATTATTCTATTCTATTCTATTCTATTCTAGTCTAGTCTAGTCTAGTCTAGTCTATTCTAGTCTATTTTCCATTCCATTCTAATTATTTCTGCATTCCATTCCATCTATTCTATTCTGTTCTATGTTCTATATTCTACATTCTATATTCTAATTTGCCATGGTGGCGCAATGGTTAGAATACAGTATTGCAGTATTGCAGAATAGCTTGACTCCCTCTTCTTTGGGGCAGCCCGAGATACTGCAACACTGCTATCCTGTCCCCCCTCGTCCTTCTCTTCGTTAAACTATACATCCCCAATTCCAGCAACCGTTCCTTATATGTTTGAGCCTCCAGTCCCCTGATCATCTGTGTTGCTCTTCTCTGCGCTCTTTCTAGAGTCTCAGCATCTTTTTTACATCGTGGTGACCAAAACTGGATGCGTACATCATCTGCAAATGGGGAAAGGATGCTTACCTGTGGGCAGGCCGAGTCCCAGATACTGAATGAAGCTCTCTGCCCGGCCACCTTCATGTGATGATTATAAATGGATTCTGGAGGTAAGAAATAAAAATAGCGTGTGACGAAGGGAGGGAGGAGAGCAGATGAAGAAGGGAAGGAAATGAGAAAGAATGGAGAGGGACCGCAGGAAAGAAGAGACTCACTTACCAATGTTCCCATATTCACCGATGAACCTCCGGGTCAGAAACCGGACAGTTAAAGCTGGAACGAAAGAGGAAGCTGGTGTCACGGCTGCATTTCTCCTAGCCAAGCTTCACCGAGTGACAGCCTGACATTAGCAACGGAGAGACAGGGGGGAGGGAAAGACTGGACTGTAAGGAAGAAGGGGGGGGGGATGGAAGCCCAGCTGAGCCTTATTTATTTATTTTATTTATTTATGAGACTTATATACCGCTTTAAGTGCAAGCACTCTCTAAGCAGTGTACACCAGTAAGCAATGTCTATATATATATATTTACATTGCCCCCAACAATCTGGGTCCTCATTTGACCTACCCCGGAAGGATGGAAGGCTGAGTCAACCTTGAGCCGGTGAGATTTGAACCGCTGACCTGCTGAACACAGTCAGCTAAAGTGGCCTGCAGTACTGCACTCTAACTGCTGCGCCACCTCGGCTCATTATGAGAAGCTTCACCTAGCCAAGCACCTGTCCTTTGTGTTGTTTGCGTGGGAAAACCTGAGATTCGCCTTGCGCTACTTCTGCCACCATCTAAGCTTCAGTAAAGTACATGTAGTCCTCGACTTACGACCACAACTGAGCCCAACATTTCTGTGGTTCAGTGAGACATTTGTTAAGTACATTTTGCCCCATTCTACGACCTTCCTTGCCAGAGCTGTTAAGCGAATCATGGCCGTTGTTAGGTTAGTAACACGGTCGTTAAGTGGAATCTGGCTTCCCCATCGCTTGTCGGAAGGTCGCAAGAGGGGATCACGTGACTGCAACCGTCACGACAATGATAAACAAGCCAACTGTCTGAATTTTGATCACATGACCCTGGGGATGCTGCAAAAGTGGTAACGGTGAAAAATGGTCATAAAGTCACTTTTTTTTCAGTGCCATTGTAACTTTGAACGGTCACTAAATGACTCGCTGTATTAATAAACAAAATCCCTCCACACACCCCTCCAGTGTTCCAACTTAGAATAGAGCTGGAAGGGACCTTGGAGGTCTTCTAGTCCAGCCCCCTGCTCAAGCAGGAAAACCTATACCATTTCAGATAAGTGACTATCTAGCCCAGGGGTAGGCAACCTTGGCTCTTTTATGACTCATGGACTTCAACTCCCAGAATTCCTGAGTCAGCTTGGAAACCTCTCCATTTCTCCTCAGCATGGCTGACTGAGGAATTCTGGGAGTTGAAGTCCACGAGTCATAAAAGAGCCAAGGTTGCCTACCCCTGGTATAGGGTCTCCTGTTTGAGTAGGGGGTTGGACTAGAATAGGGGTAGGCCACCTTGGCTCTTTGATGACTCGTGGACTTCAGCTCCCAGAATTCCTGAGCCAGCCACGCTGAGGGGAAAGGGAGAGGTTTCCAAGCTGAGCCATGTTGGCTCAGGAATTCTGGGAGTTGAAGTCCACGAGTCATGAGGGGGCCATAGTTCCCCCATTCTGACTCAGGAATTCTGGGAGTTGAAGTCCACGAGTCATGAGGGGGCCATAGTTCCCTCATTCTGACTCAGGAATTCTGGGAGTTAGTCCACGAGTCATGAGGGGGCCATAGTTCCCCCATTCTGACTCAGGAATTCTGGGAGTTGAAGTCCACAAGTCATAAAAGAGCCAAGGTGGCCCACCCCTGAGATTCTAGCCTCTTCTTAAAAACCTCCAGTGACGGAGCACCCAAAACTTCTGGTGGCAAGTTGTTCCACTGATTAATTGTCCTCACTGTCAGGAAGTTTCTCCTTAATTCCAGGTTGCTTCTCTCTTTGATCAGTTTCCAACCATTGTTTCTCGTCCTGCCCTTTGGTGCTTTGATGAACAACCTGACTCCCTCTTCTTTGTGGCAGCCCCTCAAATGCTGGAACGCTGCTATCATGTCTCCCCTATTTCTTCTTTTCTTTAGACTAGCCAAACCCAAGTCCTGCAGCCGTTCTTCGTATGTTTTAGTCTCCAGGCCTTGGATCATCTTAGTTGTTGAAACTTGTTGGAATAAAACCCTTTACCTCAAAGGCTTTAATTGGAGCCTGTCTCTACCCCAGGTACCCCTCACCAAATTTCTGTAAGAGCCTATGAAAAAGTAGAGTGTATCTTTTTTTTTTTCTTAGTGCAATGAGGCATCCATTCATGGACGCCCCAGCAGAATGACTCAGAACCAGCATTTTAACCAGCATGGGGTTCGGAAGGCTTTCATTGCCTAATTTAGTTCGATTCCCCACAGGTCTCTTACCTCTCGACCTCAGGAAATCTTGCCTGAAACAAATCACCCAGGTAACCCTTGAGTAGGTAACAGACCAGAACTGAGAAATCTAATATGTAGCTCAAGTCTCTCACCTGGCAGCCAGTTTTAACATGGAGCCAATTTTTCAGGAAACTGGTGCTTTCCTGGAAAACCCCAAACGCTCCCTCTGTCTCCAGCCACTTACACAAAGGATCGGAGTGGCGGAAAAAAAGCAGTTTTTTTTAAAACTGACCAGCCATGGAATACAGCTAGTCTTCGACTTACGACCGTAACTGAGCCCAACTGTGGTTCAGTGAGACGTTTGTTCAGTGAATTTTGCCCCATTCTATGACCTTGCTTGCCGCAACTGTTATGCCAATCACTGCGGTCGTTAATAGGATTGTTAAGTGAACCTGGCTTCCCCATTGACTTTGATGGAAACGGATCAAGGAGAGAAGCAACCTAGAACTAAGGAAAAACTTCCTGAAAGGGGAGAACAATTAACCAGTGGAACTCCTTGCCTCCAGAAGCGGTGAATGCTCCAACACTGGAAGTTTTCAAGAAGAGACTGGACAGCCATTTGTCCGAAAGGATATAGGGTTTCCTGCCTGGGCAGGGGGTTGGACTAGATGACCTCCAAGGTCCCTTCCAACTCTTTTCTGTTCTCCAAAGCGCCTGAAGGCAGGACAAGAAGCTGTGGATGGAAACTAATCAAGGAGAGAAGCAACCTAGAACTAAGGAGAAACTTCCTGACAGTGAGAACAATTAACCAGTGGAACAACCTGCCTCCAGAAGCTGTAAATACTCCAACACTGGAAGTTTTTAAGAAGAGACAGGACGGCCATTTGTCTGAACTGGTATAGGGTTTCCTGCCTGAGCAGGGGGTTGGACTAGATGACCTCCAAGGTCCCTTCCAACTTTATTATATTATTATTATTATTATTATTATTATTATTATTATTATTATTATTATTATTATGGTCCCAAAATGGGATCATATGGCCCGTCATAAATACGAGTCAGTTGCCAAGCATCTGAATTTTGATCATGTGACAGTTGTAAGTGAAAAGGGTCATAACTCACTTTTTTTGCAGTGCGGTTGTAACTTTGAACGGTCACTAAATGAACTGTTGTAATTTGGGGCTTATTCTAGTGGCAAAAATCTTGCTCATTTCTCTCCTCTCAGCTATATTCCAAGGGACTCCAATGAGGCATTCGGGACAGCCTTTACTCTGATTTGGCCCCCACATACCCCAAGCCTGTAAGGATGCCCGGCCCTCCTGCGGGGGGCTGCAGCCCACCGAGAGACAACCTTGGCATCCAAGCGCTCCCCCCCCCCCAAGTCAGGGTTTATAGAACCAATCCTTGGTTGTTATAAACAGAGGCATAGAATCAAAATCACGTGAAGTATTAGTACCGCTTTATAAAGCCTTGATAAAGTCACACCTGGAATCCTTCATCCAGTTTTGATCACCACGTTACAAAAAAGATGTTGAGGCTTAAAAAAAAAAAAAGTGCAGAGAAGAGCAACTAGGATGATTAACGGCCTGGAGACAAAAACCTATGAGGGTGAAGATTCGTTCTCCGAGCTTGTGGGCTGGTTCCGTTCCCAAGCTAGATAACATCTTCAGCGGAGTTTAGGGGGTGTCTGATGTGCTGTTCTGTTTATATCCTCCTCCTATACCAGTGGTTCTCAACCTTTTTAATGCCGCGACCCCCAACCGGTTGTAAGTCGAGGACTACTCAACCGGTCGTAAGTCGAGGACTACTCAACGGGTGCAGCACCGTTTGCAGAATGGGACTTTTGGCGGGCTCAGCAGGGCAGAGACAGCCTGGACAATTCCTATTGGCTTTGGAAAGCCAATAGAATTAGACTCTATTCAAGAGCGTCTATTCTATTGGCTTTCAAAAGCCAATAAAATAAAAGGGAGTAGCACAGCTAAGGAAAAGGGGGAAAAAATGGCGGACTGCATTGTTTGGCGACCCCCGCGAAATGGTCGTTCGACCCCAAATGGGGTCCCGACCCACAGGTGGAGAACCACTGTCCTACACCCAAACTACAGATATTCGCCTTTATTGCAAACTATATATGAAGAACGGTTGCAGGACTTAGGTATGGCCAGTCTAGGGGGAAAAAAGGACGAGGGGGTGACATGATAGCAACTCTTCCAGTATTTGAGGGGCTGCCACAAAGAAGGAGGGGGGTCAACCTATTCTCCAAAGCACCAGAAGACTAAGGCAAGAAGCAACAAATGGAAACTAATCCAGGAGAGAAGCAACCTGGAATTAAGGAGAATCTTCCTGACAGTTAGAACAATTAACCAGTGGAACAACCTGCCTCCAGAAGCGGTGAATGCTCCAACGCTAGAAGTTTTTAAGAAGAGGCTGTCTGAAATGGTATATAGGGTTTCCTGCCTGAGCAGGGGGTTGGACTAGACGGCCTCCAAGGTCCCTTCCAACTCAACCAAGGAGAGAAGCAACCTTGGAATTAAGGAGACACTTCCTAACAGTGAGGACAATTAACCACTGGAACGGCTTGCCACCAGAAGTTGCAGGTCCCCATCCCATTTTAAGCAAACGGTCTAAGGACGGTTCTCCTGCTTGAGCAGGGGGGCTGGACTAGAAGACCTCCAAGCTCCCTTTGCCAGCTCTATTCTGACGGAAGGGCTGGACGACCATCCCCGGGCCAATGAAGAAATGCGGCCCAGTCCCATTTCCACGCCGGCTGGGGACGATAGGGGTTGTAGTTTTGAAGCGCACGGCTCAGGGAAGATGCTTTACGCGGAGCAGCTCCGGCGCCTTTCGCGGGGGGGCCACTTACCCGATTTCCCCACTTTCTCCGCCCCGAGGACCAGGACGTTGGCTTCCAGCTTGGGCAAGATCCCCTGGGACATCTTCCCGGCTTGTCGGAACGCCGTCTTGAGGTGCACCAGCATCGCAAAAAGCGACGGAGGAGCAGCAGCCGGACGGACGGGCGGGCGAGCAAAGCGGAGCGGAGCAGAAGCGCACCTACAAGCGCCACCTGCTGCCCGACGAATCTGGCTGCCCGCGCGCAGCCGGCCGGCCTTTTTATGCGGGGGGAGGAGCTTCCGGCCAGCGAGGGCGGAGCCGCCCCCGCCCCGCGTGGCTGGAGAACTCAGGTGGAGCCGCCTCGGGGCACGTGAGCCAAGCAAGGGGGGGGGGCAGCTGAGATGGGCATCGCCCGAGGGGAGAAGATAATTAATTATTATTATTAATAATAATAGTAATAGTAATAAAGTTGGAAGGGACCTTGGAGATGGGGTTTATTAGCTGAAGGTGGGAGCAGGGAAGACTAGTATTTAAGGATGCCAAACAGCAGTTTAACACTAACATTTAATAATAATAATAATAATAATAATATTTCTCTTCTATTCTGCTGTGGCAGTGCCTGGAGATAGCAGAATAGAAGAGAAAGAACTGGAGAAGATAACAAAATACAAAGACCTACAAATGGAAATAGAAAGACTGTGGCAAAAGCAAGCAAGGGTAGTACTAATAGTCATAGGCGCCTTGGGTGCAATCCCAAAACAACTGGAGCACCACTTGAACACCATTGGCATGGACAAATTCGCTATTAGTCAATTGCAAAAGGCGGCCTTACTAGGAACTGATTCCATCCTGTGACGATACCTGTAATACCATCAAACATCCACATCTGCCTATCCCAGGTCCTGGGTAAGGACTCGATAGGTAGACAAAATGCCAAATCCAGTCTGAACATCTGGCTGACTGTGCGATGATCCTCAATAATAGTAATAATAGTAGTAGTAGTAATAAAGTTGGAAGGGACCTTGGATATAGGGTTTATATTAGCTGAGGGTGGGACCAGGGAAGACTAGTATTTAAGGATGCCAAACAGCAGTTTTAACACTAACATTTAATAATAATAAGGTTCTACATTTAGGCAAGAAAAACCAAACGTACAGATATAGTATAGGGTGTACCTTGCTCAATAGTAGTAACTGTGAGAGGGACCTCGGAGTCCTAGTGGACAATTACTTAAATATGAGCCAGCAGAGTGCTGCAGCTGCCAAAAAGGCCAACACAGTGCTAGGCTGCATTAACAGAGGGATAGAATCAAGATCACGTGAAGTATTAATACCACTTTACAAGGCCTTGGTAAGGCCACCTGGCACCTGGAGATAAATAAGTGGGTTTTGGGTTGTAGTTTGGGCACTTGGTCTCTAAAAAGGTTCGCCATCGCTGGCCTGGAAGGAGAACGGGGCAAGAGCGCCCTCTGGTGAACAGGAAGGGGAAATGTCCCAAACGTGCTTTTTTTTTTCAGGAGGCAGGCTTTCTTGTTCTTTCTTTGAAGACGTTTTGCTTCTCCTCCAAGAAGCTTCTTCCACTCTGACTAGATGGTGGGGGAAATGGAAGGATTGATACTCCTTGCAGACAGCTGGTCCTTTGCCTTCTTTTTAGAGAGTCCAAAAGGTTGTAATTCTGAAAAACGGTCCTAAGCCATTTTTTTTTCAGTGCACTGTAACCGAACGGTCACTAAATGAACTGTTGTAAATTGAGGACTACCTGTATAGGAGGCTTTAGGTTCAGTTCTCAACATCTTTAGGTAAGGCTTCCCAAAGACCATGTTTGAAACCATTTTGTAAGCCGCCCCAGAGCTGCTTTGTCAGTGAGATGGTTGGCAAATAAATTTGATTAATTAATCAAGACTGCAGTTAAGTCTGACAGTAAAAGCCTGGATTGTGTAAGCCATGGTTTATTTAACCATGGCTTCCTGGAGAGGTTACAATTGGCTAGGTTTGCGTATTATTGCTGTTTGGTATCATTTAAACCATGTCACAATTTACAAGCTAGCATGACTGCTTCAACCAGCACATTAATCCAAAATCAAACAAGGACATAATAGCTTAGTACATTGTGTAAACCCCCAGTGCATTGGCTGTCAATCCTGAGCAAAATTTCATGCTTTTAAACCAGGGGTCTTCAAACTTGGCCCTTTTATGACTTGTGGACTTTAACTCCCAGAATTCCTCAGCCAGGCACACTGGTTGAGGAATTCTGGGAGATCATTATAATTATTATTATTATTATTATTATTATTAATAATAATAATAATAATAAAGTTGGAAGGGACCTTGGAGGTCATCTAGTCCAACCCCCTGCTCAGACAGGAAACCCTATACCATTACAGACAAATGATTGTCCAGTCTCTTCTTAAACACTTCCAGTGTTGGAGCATTCACCGCTTCTGGAGGCAGGTTGTTCCACTGGTTAACTGTTTTAACTGTCAGGAAGTTTCTCCTTAGTTCTAGGTTGCTTCTCTCCTGGATTAGTTTCCATCCGTTGCTTCTTGTCCTGCCTTCAGGCGCCTTGGAGAATAGCTTGACTCCCTCTTCTTTGGGGCAGCCCCGGAGATACTGGAAGATTGCTATCCTGTCCCCGCTCGTCCTTCTCTTCATTAAACTAGACATACCCAATTCCAGCAACCGTTCCTTGTATGTTTTAGCCTCCAGTGCCCTAATCATCTTTGTTGCTCTTCTCTGCCCTCTTTCTAGAGTCTCAACATCTTTTTTACATCGTGGATGATGGTTTTCAAAAGCAACGTGCAGATCGTTCAAAGGGGCAAGAGGAGAAAAATTTGGCCAAGTGCGGTTCTTCTAGAAAATTCCTAATTCGTCTTGCTGAAACTTTCTCTTTCCAAAAGTAGAAGGCAGCACAAGAGGTCAGCTTGATCTTGGCTCAAAGAAAGGAAGCGCTGAACGTTGGAGAAAGTGATTGTGCAATGGTGGAATTGTTGATTTCAAGGGGAAGTAAAGCTGAGCCTAAAAATTGTGCATAATAGATTTTAAAAATGGATTTCTGTGAAACTCTGGGGAGACTTCTATGGTGGGGGAAACCAATAGAATAGAATAGAATAGAATAGAATAGAATAGAATAGAATAGAATAGAATAGAATAGAATAGAATAAAGAAAGAATAGAATAGAATAGTAGAGTAGAATAGAATAAAGAAAGAACAGCAGCCCCAAAAGCCAAGGCAATCCTACGCTGAATTAATAGAGGGCTACAGACAGAATTCTCAGGATTCCTTGGGAGAAGTCTTAGCAGTGAAACTGGTTTGGGAACCCGTTTGCTTTGGCACGTTTAGGAGGCTGGGCAGTTTCAGAATTGAGGCTTCACCAGATTCCTCTGCGGGGTTGTGATACACACACCTCCCCAGCCTGGAATGAAGAGACTGTAGGCTCTTGACAAAAGGGATTCTGAGGATCACAAAGGTTGAGAACCCCAAGTTGAGCTAATTAATTAATCAATTAACTTGATTAGTTAACAAATCAAGGAGAAAAGCAACCTAGAACTAAGGAGAAATTTCCTGACAGTTAGAACAATTAATCAGTGGAACACCCTGCCTCCAGAAGCGGTGAATGCTCCAACGGTGGAAGTTTTTAAGAAGAGACTTGGCAGCCACCTGTCTGAAATGGTATAGGGCAGGGGTCTTCAAACTTGGCCCTTTTATGACTTGTGGACTCAACTCCCAGAATTCCTCAGCCAGCATGCCTGGCTAAAGAATTCTGGGAGTTGAAGTCCACAAGTCATAAAAGGGCCAAGTTTGAAGACCCCTGGTATAGGGTCTCCTATTTGAACAGGGGGCTGGACTAGATAGAAGGTCTCCTGCTTGAGTAGGGGGTTGGACTAGAAGACCTCCAAAGTCCCTTCCAGATCTATGATTCTATCAAATAGATGAAATACATAAATAGATTAGAGAAAGAGATGATAAACAGGTAGGTAGATAGGTAGGTAGGTAGGCAGGCAGGCAGGCAGGCAGGCAGGCAGACAGACAGACAGATATAATAGATGATAGATGATATAGAAAGATAGATAAAATAAGAAATAGGTAGATAGATAGATAGATAGATAGATAGATAGATAGATAGATAGATAGATAGATAGATAGAATAGATGATGATATAGAAAGATAAAGATAAGATAAGAAAGAGGTAGGTAGGTAGGTAGGTAGGTAGGTAGGTAGATAGAGATATGATATGATATGATATATGATACAGAGAAAGGGGATAGATAGATAGATAGATAGATAGATAGATAGATAGATAGATAGATAGATGATATGATATATGATATGATAGATGATACAGAGAAAGGGGATGGATAGATAGATAGATAGATAGATAGATAGATAGATAGATAGATAGATAGATATAGATAGATAGATAGATAGATAGATAGATAGATAGATAGAGATAAGATATGATATGATATGATAGATGATAGATGATACAGAGAAAGGGGATAGATAGATAGATAGATAGATAGATAGATAGATAGATAGATAGACAGACAGACAGATAGATACACACACAGAGAGATGATAGATAGATAGATAGATAGATAGATAGATAGATAGATAGATAGATAGATAGACAGACAGACAGACAGACAGACAGACAGACAGATATCTGTATATCTATCTGCCTTCCTCCCATAGTTGTGGATGCTCCAACACTAGAAGTTTCCAAGAAGAGACTGGACAAACATTTATCTAAAATGGCATAGGATCTCCTGCCTGAGCAGGGGGTTGGACTAGAAGACCTCCAAGGTCCCTTCCAACTGTGTTACTCTATTATTCTGACCCACATTGTCCAACTCCTGCTGGACCCCTCAGGAGGGGCTGAGCCAGGAACCCCCTGCCCCTCCCACTTTTGTGTAGGCTTACTTGAAAGAAACCAAAGTCCTCCTCAACCTGGTCTCTGCAGAAGGCTTCCCTTAGTGAAAGCAAAACATCGATCATCATCCGTTTCACGAGCCAGTCTGATTCAGTACATCAACTCTTAACATCAGCCAGCTAAAAATAAAAGGCTGACCGGTTGTTTGGATTACATGTTGAACTTTGAGCAGGAAACATCCAGCCTCTGACTGGGTCTTTTCCTTTCACAATTGCCTCCAATCTGCCCAATTCAGCCCTCCTCGTCTCTGCCCACTCAACCACGAAAAGGTTTCCCCTCTCGTGAACACTGCTAGTTGGTTGAGTCTTG